TTTTTTTTTTTTTGGGGGGGGGGGATTCCGTACAATCCAAACGTGTGTATATAAACACCGACCTATCTCAATGTACCTAGATACACAGATACCTGTTGAAATGCGCACGTATGTATCACTGAGTGTGTTGACGCTTTTCTCTCTCTCTCTCTCTCTCTCTCTCTCTTTTGCTGCGTGAGTGTGTGTGAATGCGTACAGAGGTAATGACGTATGTATGTGTCAACGCTCTGCTGTCTGACAGCCGAGGGATGTATGAGCTCCTAGTTTTGGGTGTAAGGCTATCCACGGCTTGCGGCTCTCGTGTAGCGGTCGCCACGGCAATGCTCACAGCCCCCTCCCTCCCTCCCTCCTCCCCGTTCTCACTGTCCCTCTCTCTTTCTCTATCTGCCAGCTACGCGGCAAACAGCAATGGCCCCTGCAGCGTGAAGGGGACGCCTGTGGGGGTGGCGCGACACAATCCTCCCGTCACTACCGTCCAATGCCCAGAGGCACCGTGCTGCGTCACCAGATGACGGGGTGCCACAGCAGCAGCACGGAGACAAGAAGAATGAAGGCACAAGAAAAAAAAGCAAAACTACATACAAAAAAGGGAGATAAGGGAGCGCATCGCAGCTCATATCACACACCCACACACACACACACAGAGAGAGAGAGAGAGAGAGAGAATGCCCCAAGCAACCGCCACACTCCAACAGCAGACACCATTTCAACACACAGATAGAAAATATTATAAACGCGTGTACGTATTTTGGCCCACGACAACACTCCGCATCATCAGACCCCCGACATAAAAGATAACAGTAGAAAATCACCACCGCCACCTACACCAACCGCAGCGGCAAAACAACAAAACTGAAGCAAAACATTTCCCGGATGCCAAGCCCAGTATTTCCTACCCTCGCTACTACACCCCTCCCTCTCTGTTACGCCTCCTGCGCACAATCCGGCTCCGCCTTGGTGGGCGCCCACACACGGTAATGAAGCTCCGCGTCCTTCGGCACGTATACCACCACCGGCAGCTTGCTGTTGTAGGGGATAAGCGGCTTGTTGACCATCGCCACAAACCGCGGCTTCGGCGTGTCACCTGGCATAGATGTCATGAGTGTTCCCGCCAGTTCGCCCATGTGCACGACGTAGTAGGTGTAGCCCCAACCGTTGATTGTCTCTTCCTTCACGTCGCCGGCGATGAAATGCCTGTTGGTCGCGTCCACCGTCTCGACACGGCCGGGGATGAGCTGCAGTTTGAATTCCCGCTTCTCCTCCGCTCCACGTTCGTCGAGGAAGATGACAAGGCGTTTTTGATCCGCGGTGGGCGCGGGGTAAGGCGCCTTGTACTCCGCGAGCGTCTTCTTCGTGCTGGACGACATCTTATTCGGTGCAGGTATATGTGTAGATGTATATGTCTGTATTTGTGGGAAATTGATATGAGTAATCAGCGGCTCTTCTAACAACAGGAAAACACTGCCGAACAACAAACCAGGTATATATATATATATATATATATATACACAGAGTCGTCAACAGATAGAGTAAACACTATCCCACATGCGAGGAAGAACACGCATATCCTTCTTTTTTTTTTCCCCACTCACATTTTATTCTTCACGTCTGACCTCTACACCTCTGCCCCCCACAGCTCTAGTCCGTGCGGTTCATCTCCGTCTTATCCCCCCAGTTCACATTCTCTGTCTCTCCCCCCGCGTCCGTGGCGAAGGAGCCGAACTGCTTATTCCATTCCTCGTAGCGCTCCACCTCCGAGGCTCCAACACTTGGCCGAATACGCTTCAATGCCTGCATAAAGTCCCGCCTCTGAATTGGCCGCAGTTCATTCAATGAAACGTCAGAGAGCCGCATGGTGACTTCGCGTAGCGGCCCCATCGCGGCCTCGCGACACACCTGCTTGAGATCCGCACCGGAGTACCCCTCCGTTGCGGCTGCGATCTCTGCAATGTCCTTCGCATCCAGCGCATGCACCGTGCCACTGCCACTCTTTACCACCGCTTCCTCATCCCTCCCCTCGGAGCGATCTAAGCACTGCTGCTGCTGCTGCAGTTCCATCGTGTGAAGAAGCCGCTGCACTAGCTCTACCCGTGCAGCGGCATCAGGGAGAGGAATGTGCAACCGTTTCTCCATACGCCGCCGCGCCGCCTCGTCCAATTCCTCCGGCCGGTTCGTAGCACCGATTAGAAGCACACGGTCGCCGCGGTCAGTCGCCACACCGTCGAGCTGCACGAGGAACTCCGTCTTGACGCGCCGCACCGAATCCATTTCGCCCTCGCCGCGCATGGAGAGAAGAGAGTCAATCTCATCAATGAATATGACGCTCGGCTGCTTCACGGTGGCCACAGCAAACAGACACCTTACTAACTTCTCCCCGTCGCCCATCCACTTTGACATGAGAGAGGAGGCACTGATGTTCAGAAACGTGCATTGTGCGCGGTTTGCAATGGCGCGGGCGATCATCGTTTTACCGGTGCCAGGTGGGCCAAATAACAGCAACCCGCGTGGCGGGTCGCGAAGACCAACGAAGAGATCCGGTCGACGCAGCGGCCACACAATTGCCTCTTCAACGCTTCGCTTGGCGTAGTCGAGCCCCGCAATGTCGTTCCAGCTAACACTGCGGGCACCGGCACCGTGCTCGAGAATCTCCATCGCCACCTGCGCCACGAGCTTCGGGTCCAGCGGCTGTAGGATCGGCGGCACGGAGCCATCGGGGAGAAGCAGTGAGGCAGGGTATTCTCCATGCTCGCTGTCGCTATCGTCACGAGTAGCCATGTTATGGTGGCTGCGCGCTCCTCGCGTCGGCTCGTGGGAGCCCTTCGAATTCTTGGCGATGGAGCTCAGCACCTCATTGACTGGCACCACATTACCACCACCGGTATTACTACTAGCAGCGTTAACAGCAGCGACTCCACTTGGCACATCACTCCTTGACGAATGCGGAGGCGGTGTTTGTTGCCGCTGCTGCTGAAACGGCGGCGTGAAGCCGGAGCGCCGCAGACCCAGCGCAGGGGTTCGGCGTTGCAGCGTGAGACTTGACGCCAGTGCACGTCCTGCCTTCACATCCACCGCCAGCTGTTCGCTCGCGGTGATGAATCCGCCACTGCTCTGGCCTCCCGTGCCCGAGCCAAGGGCTGCGTCGTCCTCCTCCTCTCGCCGCCTAGAAACCACTGAACGATTCCCGTAGCGCGATTCCCTCACGTTCGCGCCATATCTGACAGCCTCCGCGCCGCTGCCTTCCACACTTTCGGCGGACTGCCATCCCATAGGCATATGCGGCGGTCTTCTTATGACGGTGAATGCCGGAAGTGCCGCCTTTTGCGAACCCACAGGGGCTGGGGCAGCCGCACTGTTGCCAGCGGCCAACAACAACGACGACGAGGACGACGAGACCAGCGGCCGAAACATGACGTTGGTGAGCTGCGGCGTCGTGGCTGACAGGTGCGCAAGAGACAATTTGCCGTGATTGTCAACATTTAACGTTGTCTGACACTTGGCGTTAGAAGCTCCTTGCGGCAAGGCACCGCTCCTGCACGAGACACCAGTCCCCTGTGGCTGCTGTTGATCCTGATCTGTCTTCGGGCGGCGACTATCATTGTCAGACGACGGATCTGCCGCTGCGATTGCTCGATTGTCGTGCTGATGGCGCATGAGGCCCCCGTCGATTCTCACGGCGAACGCGAATGGCCGCTTGCCTGAACGTGCATCTTTCGCATCACTTTCCCCCTCTTCAACAGCACGCCGCCTCTTCGCTCCAGCATCACTATGAGGGCTATGGTGATTATCATTGTGAGTTTCACTGTGTGCGGCATCTGCCGCATCGCCTTCTTGTGGGTGCGTTGCCTCATTTCCCTCGCACCGAGGCGCCTCCAACAAAACCGCACGCAGCGCAGGGGCGAACTCCCGCAGGTGCTGGACCGTTTTCTGCACATTCGGAAGGTGCCTCTCCCGCTTTGGTGCTGCGTTATCGAAGGGCTTGCGCTGCGGCAATGTGCCCTCAAGCTCTGTGATTGTTGTGCCAAGTGCCATTGTGCGATTCATCCAGAGCAGCTGCGCGACGTCTGCCTCGCTCCCCATCACTTCACCGTGATTCACCGCCGCCGACCCACCCTCACCATCCTGCTCTTGCTGCGTGAGAGGTAGTGCAGCACGGGCTGCCTCGTACGTGATGGCGATGAGGTGCTTCTGCACGGCGTGCGCAACGAATTCCGCGAGACGCCGCTCCACCGCCTTCGCATCACTCGACGCAACGCCGCTCTCCTGCTCCCCGCCACGTCCCTCGTGGTGGCGCGTCACACTGTGCTCACTTGCCACAACAGCGCTGAACACAGCTTGCTCCAGTTGCAGCGCACTCGGCTGCTGGTGCTGCGCCGCCGCACCGGCGTCGGCTGCCGCGACGGATGGCGACTGCGGCACACTCTGCGGCTTCTGAATTCCGCGCAGACAAGCAAACATTTTGCACAGACGCAACGAACAGCAAAATCCACAACAGGGATGCCGCCCTTTTCTCCCTTTGCTGGAACTGAGGGACTGGAACAATATGAGAGCAGGTGCAGGACCAACAAGAAATAAAGAGTACAGCACGCCAAGAAGAGCGGCACTCGCAACAGCCCCGCCTCTCTCCATCGCCCCACCAAACCCCCCCAGAAGAAAAGAAATGGAAATGCTCACCCACTCGAGAAGTCAAGGGTAGTGAGGACTCGCAGACACACTCACACAGAGAGGAAGGGGGACAGAGAGAAAAGAAATAGAACGTCTTTGCCCCTCACGCAGCACACTTCTGTAGGGACCAAAGTACAAGCAACGTCAAAACGGTCGCCTCACGCATGAGCCACAGCGCAGCGGTGCCGTTGTGCACAGAGCCCACTGCATCGTCAACGCGTGCGCTCGCATCACCAGCGTTGACACCGAGTGCGACCCGGCGCGACTCTGCATCCACCTCCATGAGGGCTGCGCAGAACGTCCTCACGATTTCACATGCCCACGCCTTCAGCGCCCTCATATTCATCTCCTGCTTCTGCTGCGGGGGAGTGCGCCATATTACATGGTGGCTCTGCTCCACCGCCGTCTGCAGGAGTGGCGCAAAGCACAATGACAGAAGATTCAACATACCACGCTCGACTGCACGCCCCGGGAACGGCGACAGCAGCAGCAGCTGCTGCAGACTCTTTTCGTCGCGCCAGCGCCGTACTATAGCCAACGTGTCATGGAGCGTGTGCCACAGTGGCCCTTCTCCTCGACACGAAGTGAAGACAAATTCTTCACACGACTCTGAATCGTTAGCAGCAGCCACATCGGTAACATCAGCGGGTGCGCACGGCCCAAACACCTCAGGTGGGACAGCGTGAGCTACGCATGGCCGAACCACAGACTCCGCATCGTGCCAGACACGCTCGACATAGTCACCTACCGGAGACAATTCAGATGACATCATGGCAGCGCTATCGTCATCCACGACGGATGCCAGAGCTCCACCAGCGACCTTGACAGCAAAAAAAGATAAAGCTTCTTGCACCCAGTTGAATAACACCGGTGTCATCCTCCGCGCCGCGCTGCTGCGAAGAAGACACAGTATTGCGTCCCGCTTATTACTCCATTCCTGCAACTCTTTGTTTAAAGTGGAACTGACTACTTTTTCTGCTACTGCTGCTGTTGGTGGTGGTGGTGGTGGCGTTGTAACAGAGACAGCAGCAGAAGCAACGGGAGCAGGAGCAGCAATGGGAGCGGAAGTGACTGCAGCCGTTGTGCATTGCTGTTCACGTTGACAAGCGCTGCTGCTGCTACTGCGACTACAATGGGGCATCCCGATTGAGGGCACTCCAGAACCAGTGTCAAGAGCAACAGATGAAGCGGAAGCCACCACCACTTCCGCCGCCGCCTCCGCCTCCTCCTCTGGCTCCAGCTTCACTGCGCCAAACCTAGAGCGAGACGCCTTAGGTTTCTTTCTAATAGTCCTTCGAAGTCCTGTCGACTCCGGCACTACTGTTGTTGATGTGGAGTCGGCTTGCGGCAGGGCGGCAGTCCCCCGCCCTGCTCTCGTCACCCCAGGCCTAGAACCCTCTTCCTGCACCTCATGGCTTGCCGCCAGTGATGCACTCCCAATCGGTGTTGACGCGTACGTGTGTGGCGGTGCGGAGGAGACGCCAGGCCGCTCCATGTAGTCCGGTTCATACTCATAACTCTCTACCGCCCCCGCACGGCGAGAGGCCCAGTTACTGCCGCTGTTACTACTAGTGCCATCGACACGACCTTTCCCAACACCAACGTGGGCGCTGGTTTGTGTGTGTGGTATGTGCCGTGTTGAAAAGGAAACAGAAGCCGCCGCCGCCACCGCCGAAGGGACGTCTTGCTTTGTCTGTGCGGCAACACTTTCCGCTTCGTCATGATGCTTGCCTTCGCCGGGGGAAACGAGCGAGTCGACGTACGCACGGCTGAACTGCCGCACCTCCGACACGATGCTCGGCATGTAGTTTTTGAGGTTCATGGCTTCCTCCACACTCTGCGCGACGCAACAGGGGAAGGAAAGAAAGGTCGAAAAGGAGTCTTTGAAGGGTATGAAGAGCATGAGCAAAAAAGAATGCAGATCGAATGGTAACACCACCACCACCACCACCAACGACAGAAACTTCGTTTGAAGTATCCTTTCCTTTTTTTCGTTGTTGCCCCCCCCCCCCAATTTACGTACTGTTGCACCCCTCCATCTTACCATCCTTTTCAATACAAATATATATATATATATATGTATATCTCGTCGTCTTCGTTGAATCCCACGAGGACAAACGTTTGGCGTACTATTTTCTTTATATGTATCCCCTTTGCCTCGTTCCTTTCCCCATTTTCTCTTTTTGTACCTCAATTTGTCTTTTTATACACCTCACTTACTTACCACACACGTGCTATCGGTCTCGTTCCCTCTCCCCCCTCCTATCGTCCCACACACACACACACACACACATTTCTCTCGCCATCCGTGTGCGGGTGTATGAGCTCTCTCTATCGCATTCACAGCTCAAGGTTCTGCTGCTCACTCATTGGGACCGTTCATTGTGTCGCTGTCATCTTGCTGGCTATTGCTGCGCATCCACGTCTGCCGCTGCGGCACAATCCCACTGCGGGCGACCGCCGCCGCCACCGCTCCCGTTCCCGTTCCCGCTCCTGCTCCTGCTCTCGCTTCCGCCATTGCCACCGGTGGCAGCGAGAGACTCGCCGCCTGACGCTGTGCGAGGCGCTGCGTCGTTGCTGGTCGCCGCGGCACAACAGGGTCACGTGGAAGCACGACCACCGTGCTCTGGCTGCGCGTCTGTTGCGAGATGGCCGGAAGCGTAACCCGAGCGGCATTACTCAGACTGCGTTGCGGCCGCGGCGACTCGATGCCTAGCTGCTGACGCCCATACGTTTGCGGCTCTTCGAGGAAGCGGCTGTCCTGCTGCTTCACCTCCTGCAGTGCGAGTGCCTTGTAGAACTTGGAGAAGTCGCTGAAGTCCACCACCTGCGGCAGCCGCTCCACCGGTGTGTTGGGGAACGTCAGCCGCTCCACATCGCGCCGCGTCAGCGTCGCAACATCGCTCACTGTCAGCACCGCGAACTCCACAAAGTCAATGCGGTCGAGCACACCGAAGTTGCCCACATCAACACCGTCAAAGAAGAAGCGGAAGGTTTCAATGTCCTCGATGCTTAGCGGGGTGTCGGCCGTGCGCTCCCTCTTCATGCGCACCATCAGCCGTTTCAGCAGCCGCGTCGAGTCCTGCTTGCACTGCGTGATAAACTGCAGCCTGAGGTGCTCATCCCGAAACTTGGACCGCATCTGTGCCCGCATCGCCTCGGTGGCTTCGTTGCCCGAGGACCTGCGTGCCGCGTCAGCAGCACCAGCCCCACACGCCGCACGCACGCGCTGCACGACCGACAGGTGCTTTGCCTTGCCGCGGTTGCGCAGAATCGCGCGCTGCTTTGCCAGCCGATCCACAATATCACACAGTTCGCGCTGAAGCTTCTCGTCGCCACGACGCAAGCTGTACTCCACCGCACGCCGCTGGAACTCGGGATCGTCGACGAACCCTACCTCCGTCAGTGGCACGCCATGCGGGAGCGGTGGGAGGAACGGGTACTCGTTGAAGAGGACCTCATTCTCCGACTCCTTCCGCTTCGACCACTCCCGGAGATACGTTGCCAGTCCTTTGCCGTCCGTCTTGCTGCGTGAATCGAGGATGGCGTGCAACTCCACGTCCTGTGCCAACTCATCATCGGTAAGGTGCGCCCATGGCTGCGGCACACAGCGGGGGTTGTTCACATCCAAATCAGCCGCATCATCATTGACGTTGTTGCTTTTGTTGCCCGAAATCGTTGCCGCTGCGCGCTTCACGAGTTCTTGACGCCGCGCCTCTCGCGCCGCCAGCGCACGTGCTGTAGCTCCCGCAGATACTGGCTCCTTCGACATCTCAATCACGCGCTGCAGCGCCGCGGCGGCAATTTCCTTCAGGTATGCATCGCCTATGTCGACACGTCGCATTGCAAACACCTGCGAGATGTCCTCATGCTTAAAGACCAACTCCATCGCCTTTGTGTCACTCTCAATCTCTTCCACTGTCGTATGACGTGACAACAGCTGTCGTGCCTTGTTGAGCACACCTGAAATGAATCGACGTTCCCGCTCCATTTCTCGCCCCTCCCGCCTATTGATCGGTATGATGGAGGAGAGGTCAAAGGAGCAGCGGCGGCGGCTCGTTTTCGCCGCAAGGTTCCCTTTCACGTCATCCTGGATGCATGACACCTCATTTTCCTGCACCTGAGAGATAGACTCGTGGTGCCGCTGCAAGGAGCGACCGCGTCGGGCCGGTCGTTTGGCCTCCGGAGTGGCCTCAACGTGCGACACGTCCCCGCGGGGGCTTCCCGCGGAGAGTTCGTTCTCCATGGTGTCAGGTATCTCACCATAGCGATCGTCCTCCAGTCGTGAGACAATAAGAGACCCCTTGTGCTCCTTAGGCTTCTTCACGCGCCGTTTCTTCCCGTCCGGCCGTTTTGCACCCCGCCGCTTCACCGCGCCATTCGCTACACTGGCTTCTGCCGCCGTAGGCGCTGATGCCGGCATGCCGACAATCTTTGGCAGAGACTGCGGCAGCGGCGGCGGCGGCGGCAGAGCCGTCAAACTCAGGTCGTGAGTGCGCACATCCAGCATCATGCTATGAGCCAACACTGCACTCAGTGGCGACTGCCGCTGGTCCTCCCGTGGCTCTTGCAACTCCCCCGGCTCCTCTGTCAGAGCGGTAAGAACCTCCGGCCCACGCCCAGTCCCTCTGCGGCGCGGCTTCGTCTTTATATCCGGCTCGCCGACTGACGCGTTCCTGTCGGCGAGCGGGGGTGGCGGCACCTCCGGCACCTCCTCCGGTATAAACAAGCCCTGTACGTCGGGAACTGCCGTCATCGTCAGCGACACATTGGCAGACTTGCGATGCTTCTTTGCCTGCCGTTGCGGCGAGGAATCCATTTTCTTCACAGGCTGCTGCGCCGGCGGCTTCTTCAGGCGGTGTAGCGCCGCCGAACTGCCATGCACATCCAATCCCGCGCTGTCAAGACTCTCCGTGCCCTGCTCCACCAATTCCCCCGCCGTCAACTCGGGAACGGCACTCATGGTGAGCTGCGACACGCTGTTCGCCGGCCCGCGACGCAGTCTTGGCCGCTTCCGCAGCACCAACTTCTTCTTCTTCTTTCCCTCCCCCTTGGTCGGTGGTGGTGGCAGCGGCAGCGGTATTGCCAGCCCAGGAGCAGTGGTGCGTGGCGGCGAAAGGAACGTCATGGACCCCTCGTCGCCAGACACCGCACCGTCGACAACTTGTGACACCGTGCCGTCCTCCGCGATTTGGTACGCAATCAGGTCAGGGATCGCATCTACCGCCAACCCACCAGAGAAGCGATGGGCGCGTAGACGGCGCAGCTGCAATGAGCGTCGAATTCTCTTGCCTGAAACATGTGAGCTCTCCTCGCCTTCACTGCCAGTAGGGACCTCGCTGTGTGACGTACCATCGCTAAAGATCCGGCTGGTCCGCTTGCTGCGCAGCGTCGGTGAAAGCTCCAGGTCCTCCTCCTTGATCTCAATAAACACGTTGTCTGGTACCTCCGAGAAGGAAAGGTTGGAGCAACTAGCGGAGCTTCCGCTACGCTTCTTCTTGCGCTGGTGTACCGACCGCCTCCGCTCCCGCTCTTGCTCCCGCGCGGTTTCACGTTCTTCCTGCGTCACATCTAGGAATGTCACAACACGACGCCGCGCACGCCGCGCCAGAAGGTGGTGCCGCCAACGTGCAGTTAACTCCTCCTCCGTCATCTCGTTCGTGTGCTTGCCACTTGACCCGCGACACGCCTCCGCTGCCGCCGCCACATACCGCTCATCATCTAGCAGCTCAACGCTCTGCTTCCTTTCCTCCTTCTCCAGCGACTCGATAAGCTCAGTCTTCGTGAATCGCTCCAGCAGTGACCGCCGCTCGTTTTCAAGTCGCTGAAATGTCTCATCAAACTCGACAGCAGGGTTCACATCCCGCACGCACATCGGGTAAGTTGTCCGAAGTCGGTTCACCTCAGCCGCGATGCCTTGCTCCACTGCGCCCAATGTCTTGCCCAGCCGCACCACCTCCCCATTCACGTCATCCCTCTTCATGAGACCCTGCAGTATTCTCTCCAAAGTAACCGCGTCCAACTGCAGATCAGGGGGGAAAGCGTCTAACACAGCAGGCAACACACCCTGGCTGCGCATCGACCCCGCAGCGTCTTGGCACCGTCCCAAATGTCGCGAGGCGATGTCATTCGCACGTTCGCGCAGAAGATCATCACAGATACGCACCACCTCCCAGTCCACTACTTCCTCCGCCAATTCCTTCAACCGCCTCTGGTAGTAACCCTTGAACTTCGTATCATTCATTAGATCCAGTACACGCAACGGAACCAGCCGCACCTCGTTCGTCTCCAGGAAAGGATTGCGTGCGCGAACAATTTCGTCCTCATCGGCACGCAGCGCGTCCACCATCTTCTTCACGGCGGCGGCGTCGTGCGCACGTGCGCGCAACTGCCTCTCCACATCTACCAGTGCCTCGCGGTTCAAGCTCGGCTCCGCCGCCAACGCGTCGC